TTGTTATATCTTTAATTTATGCTAGTCTTTCTAGTAAGTTATCTCTTTATTTATTGTTGTTTTATAGATTTAAACTTCATTTTGTGACAACATAGTGTAAAACTCATTTTTTTGTATTAATTGTTCTGAATAAAGAAAAATTATCAATTTAAAAATTTCTTTATGAAATTAAATGTGAAAATAATATAATTTTAACTAGTTTATCTGTTTAAAAATGAAAAACTGACCGGTAATGCATATTATTTGTAGTGCCTAAAGTAGACTTGGTAGTTCTAAGCTTAGGGGTCACGTAAGAAACGAATAAAATTCAGGTAAAAGATTTATAAGAAAATGATAAGGATTTCATAATACTCTTATCACTTTCTTACCGATTTGTTATTGTATTCTTACCTGATTCTTATACGACTCTTACTACACCCTTGTCACTTTCATGAGGACTTCTTATATAGAATCTTGTAAGAAATTAATCAAAATCTTATCAGAATTGATAAAATATTTTGTTGACAATCTGTACACTCTCTGCAATCTTAACTTTGTAACTCTGAAGCTAATGCCGACTTCAGTATTGTTAAACGTAGAGAAATTGATCGCAGATCAGTTTAGGTAACAACAAAACCTGTTTGGCTTCTATGCGTTTTAAACGAGAATATCAATATAATACAATCTTTATTTTCCATAATATGCAAACTGTTCTTGCAACATTTTTTGATTCAAAAACACACGAGTAAATACAACTAAATGCGTGTCCGTTGCAACATTGATCAAAAGGTCAAGAGTAGTACAGCACGTTCCAATGGAACCAAGACAAAACTCGCAATCAACATTATTTTGAAATCTTACGTCATTCAAAAGCAGCCTACAGCAATCTGAACCCACACCTCCCGCTACACACACCAAACGAAACCTATACGCCATCACCAGAAAGAGCAGACTATTCATTCACCTACAAACGTTGGATGGCACCAGGTGACATTTCACTTTCGTCACAAAAGTGCCCATTTGACGATGATGAGGTCAAATGGGTGAATCAATGATGATGCACCTAGCGAAGAATGTCCAGAACCAGTAGAATCACGCGCCTATTCATGCATGTCCCAGATGTTCGACGGCACCGGATGAAATTTCACTGTCGTCACAGCAGTGCTCATTTGACGATGACGAGGTCACGAACAAGTGAATCAATGATGATGCAGTCAGCGAAGAATGCCAAGAAATGGATTATTCATTCAACTCTTAGATGTTCTATGGCATCGTATGCCATTTCACTTTGGTCATGGCAGTCCTCATCTGACGATGATGAGGTCACCAAGAGTTGAATCAGTGATGATGCAGCTAGTGGAAAAGGCCAACGAAGAGCAGACTATTCATGCATCTGCTAGATGTTGGACGGCACCAGATGACATTTCACTTTCAAGACAGCAGTGGTCATCTGACGATGATGAAGTCAGCAGCAAGTGAATCAGTGATGATCCAGTTAGTGAAGAATGCTAATAAATCGAGTATGCTTCCATGTTTTAGATGTTCGATGGCACCAGATGACATGTCATTTAGGTCACAGCAGTGCTCATCGGACGATGATGAGGTCACTAACAAGTGAATGAATGATGATGCACTTCGTGAAGAATGCGAACGACAAGATTATTCACGTGTCTCCTAAATGTGGGCTGGCATCAGATGACAATGCACTTACGTCACAGCAGTGCTCATCTGACGATGACGTGGTCACCAACAAGTGAGTCAGTTATGATGCAGTAAGTGAAGAATGCCAATCACGCGGCTATTCGTGCATCTCCCAGATGTTCGATGGCAGGAGATGAAATTTCACTTTGGTCACAGCAGTGCTCTTCTGACGATGATGAGGTCAGGAGCAAGTGAATCAATGATGATGCAGCTAGCGACAAATGCTAATAAATGGATTATTTATCCATGTTCTAGGTGTTCGCTGGTACCAGTTGAGATGTCACTTTGGTCACGGCGGTGCTCATCTGACGATGGTGAGGTCACCAACAAGTGAATCAATGATGATGCGGTTAGTGAAAAAGGCCAAACATAAATGGAATATTCATCCATGTCCTAGATGTACGCTAGTACGAGTTGACAAGTCACTTTGGTCACGGCAGTTGTCATCTGAGGATGCTGAGGTCACCAGCAAGTGAATCGATGATGATGCAGCTAGTGAAGAATGCCAATCACGCGCCCATTCATCCATCTCCCAGATGTTCGATGGTACCAGATTACATGTCATTGGGTCACAGCAGTGCTCATCTGACGATGATGAGGTCACCAACAATTGAATGAATGGTGAGGCAGCTGGTGGAGACTGCGAAAGCTGCAAATAAATGTAGGTGTGTTGTTGAGTTTTTTCGAGTTTGCTGATTGTAAATGAGGTTCCCGGTGGTAGTAGAACTTCTTCTTCGTCGTAGTGGGATAATTCTGTAATATCGATGCCTCTGTTGCGCGCTGCATCAATGATGAATAAGATGTTACCGAATGTTTGCGCTTTTTCGTGGTTTTTAGTCGTTGAGGTAAAGCCGTCCCAACATCTTGATTGGCCTATGGCCTCTTGATAAGATGTGAGCTGATTGTCATCGATATTCATACCGCGGTAGAGGGTGGCTGTATGCTTTCCGTTTGTGATTAAGCAGCTTCTGAATAGAATGTAGCAAAATGGGCCTAGCGTACTTATTTTGGTTGTATCATTTTCTCTCAGTGCTTTGTTTATTAGTTTGTATAAAAAGCATTCCATTGTGTATAGGTGGATGCAGCATCTGTAAATTTCTTTTCGGTCTTTTTTTCTCACGGCTAGCAGTTGACCAGCTATGTAGTGTGACTCACAATGTTTATGGAGTTGCTTTCCTTCAATAATTATTCCGTTCGCTGCCTGCTTCACTATTTCAGCATCAGAAAGTTTCTTGTCTTTCTTCCACTGTGAAAGAAAATTATAAGCGTCTTTGCCCATGTCGCTATTGAACGTTTTACTCAATCCTGGTGGTTGAAAGAATCGTTGTTCTCTTAAACCTTGAGTTTCGTTTCTACCAATTAGAACTCGCTTTATTTGCCGCTGTTTATTAGGATCCGATTTACTGATTTGAATAGATTTGTATAAATTGATCAAATAATTATCTAGATCAGCTAGTTTTGTTTTATTTTTTCCATTAAATGCTTCTTCAATAATCGCGGATTCGATGTCAGAATATTTTGTCCATTCTTCTTTTTCATTTGTAGACCATGAATCAGAATTGGATTTCCAATACCATTGAGCTCGCAGTTGATCAGCTGAGTTTATCATTTGACTTACCATTGAGTAGACTGTTCGGAAGTGATGGGTTCTAGAATGGGTTCTAGTCTATGGATCTAGAAAAGACACTATGCAGGTAACAAAATATTCTGTCTTTGAAGAAAGAGCTTTTCAGAACTAACAGTTGTAGCCAAAATTCTTATCTCATCTTATTCGTTGGATATCAGGCTACAAAAGTATATATCGGGTTTTTTCATTTTGCTTCTTCACTAAGAAATTTCATTCATAGTAAAATCTTGGTACTGCTGTTCATTCTCGTGGTATTCAACCAAAACTTCGATTAACGTTGAATGTGAGTTTTGTTTCGTATAATAATGTGTAAGATGCTGAACAATAAACAAAAATATTAACATTATCCTTCCAATAAGCTTTTGAACGGAAAGCCAGCGCTTCAAGACCAGGTTTTAAGGAGACTCCTCAGAAAACCTTGTAAGATCTTGAAAGTGGCCTCATTAGATTCTGCGTTGTTTATACTTCTTCACAGAACTTTTTACTCTGTGTGAACCAAAAATAATAGTTTTATTAGGAAAAGCTCTTGGCCGATTATGAACAGCAGTACCAAAATTTTATGAATGAAATTTCTTAGTGAAGAAGCAAAATGAAAAAACCCGATATATACTTCTGTAGCCTGATATCCAACGAATAAGATGAGATAAGAATTTTGGCTACAACTGTTAACTAGAAAAACGAGATGGGTTTCCAAAATGACTTGATACTGCTTTAACGGGTGCCACTTTGACAATCAACATTCAGAGTCGATTCACATATCATTTTTAGAATCAATTTTGGACACTAAATCAGGAAAAACACTAGTTTCAAAAACTGGAAAGAACGGTATCGAAAGAAATTTGAATTACTCGGAGAACACAGACATTTTTCGAAAAATGAGATCCGCCGGATTTTTAGGACTCTTCAATCTGAAAAAGTGTTTGACCAACTTTTTTTTACTCACGAGGGAAGTTCCCCAGGTGTTTAAAGCCTTTAGGTCCCATCTTTTGGCGATAGGTAGACCTCATTGAGGTATGAAAAACCTCAAGAAGGTTTATCCTCTCGTGCCTTTATTTCCGAGATATCCAATTCTCAAGATACATACGAAACGAGACCGAAGTGGAAAATGATCGTTCTTAGAGGCCAGTACAGTATTCACGTGGAAAATTTTCAAAGGTTCACGTATTGCTCGTGCTGCCTATTCTGGATTTAGTGCTAGGTCATATCCATCGGTATCACCTCTAAGGGCTGTTCATCGGGTCACAGAACATCCAGAACTCTTCATTTCACATCTGATTTCATTATACACTGCAAAAGATTAATGGAGCAAATAATACAATAGCGATTATTTTTTCATCTTCCTTGCTGGCGTACCAACATGTCTGAGTTATAACTACGCGTGTTCTTTTTTTACGTTTCTCTACTTTCTTTCTCCACGTGTTCCTCTCTTTCATGTCGGAGCCATACCACGAGGTTGTTTCTCTCTTCATTCGATTGTTTACGATATGCAAGTGACGCACGGTGAAACACAACTTCCAACGTATCCCGCATCAAACCTATCTCTCGCGCTTTCGCCATTATCTTGAAAAACATGGAACCAAGAAACAGAAGATCGAGAAAATCGATGATTATGTATTTGATATGTTCGAGCGGGCTTGAGAGAAAGCGCTGCCAGTGCACGATATTGATCTACGACGATGCACTCTTAAACAGGCTATGGATGAGTCCTTATACAATTTTGTCGCTTCAAAGCATTGATTGTACACATTTAAACACAAATATAATATTGTCTTGCGCAAGATAACGAAGGTGAGAGATGTGTAACTATTTCTAAGAAATTTTGGGCAGGAAGCTCTCTCCTCTAAAACGAGATAAACATGAAAAAAGAGGCTTTACAAGTTTCAGACTTCTCGGTTTTGCACAGTCATCGTTTGCCCTAGGATTCTTTGAAATCAAGCCACGTAGAAGTTGAAGAGACGATTAGAACTTCGGCCGATCAGTTTGTAGCCGATGTTCGCAGACGCTTACCTCAGTACGAAGAACACGAAGTTCTCAACACAGACCAAAGTAGAATTCAGCTCGAATTCCACTCTACTCGAACATTCAGCCATAGAGGGGAGAAAGTAACAATTGGATCCGTTCGCTCTGTGAATGCTACCACCCACAGCTATACAGCGCAACCAACAATCACACTCGACGGTCATCTCCTCTCGCCGCTTTACCTCTGCTTGAAGAAGCCCACAGGGCGCCTGAGTGACAATATTCGCTCGCATCTTTTCAAGACGTCGCATGTGGTGATCACCTGCAGCAGTTCTGGAAAGCTCACAACATCTTTGGTTGAGTACTGGCGCGATCATGTACTCCTTCCGTCACTAGAAAACATCAAAAATTCCTGCTCATCTCGGACTGTTGGGGTGGACAGACATATGGAAAGGGATTATACGATCATATCCCAGGATGCACAAGGCTGGAGATACCGAAAAAAACGACGGATCAAATTCAACCACTGGACGTTTTTTCAACAGGCAGATGAAAGTGATTCCTCGTCGGTTATACGATCGTGTGCTACTCGATGAACTTGACATCAACATGAGCGAACGGAATAACATCATTCGTCTCATGTCTCTCACTCACAATCAACTCTCTGCCAATGTGTTTCGTCCGATGATCCAATACGCTTGGTATGCCAATGGCTACACAGACAATCATTCCAAATCCTTCAAAACAGTGGGCGAAGTGCGTTTTTCCTTCGATACAACAATATGCGCTGCACCTTCGTGCGATGCAGCTCCTTTTATCTGCTGCAGCTGGTGTGACAAACCACTATGTTTCAATCACTTTTTTCTGAACTATCATTTTCACTGAGTCACTCTTGTGCAGACTTTTGCAGTGTATAATGAAATCAGATGTGAAATGAAGAGTTCTGGATGTTCTGTGACCCGATGAACAGCCCTTAGAGGTGATACCGATGGATATGACCTAGCACTAAATCCAGAATAGGCAGCACGAGCAATACGTGAACCTTTGAAAATTTTCCACGTGAATACTGTACTGGCCTCTAAGAACGATCATTTTCCACTTCGGTCTCGTTTCGTATGTATCTTGAGAATTGGATATCTCGGAAATAAAGGCACGAGAGGATAAACCTTCTTGAGGTTTTTCATACCTCAATGAGGTCTACCTATCGCCAAAAGATGGGACCTAAAGGCTTTAAACACCTGGGGACCTTCCCTCGTCAGCTTGACACGCTCTCTCCAATAATGTATGCTTTAGTCGAAAATAAGATAGTCCTCATCTGTCGAATTTCCCGCATCTGACATAGCAAAAGTGAAATTATTATTATTTATTTATCATAATAAAATAAGTTTATCAGACTCATTGAATAAAATTTGCTAATTCTTTTACTGGTTCTAAACTTGGAATATCGTTCATAAACAACGTGAATTTATAGGTAATCGACTACTGTGCACTTAGTGAACCTATATTCGACGTCGTCAGAGAATTTTTATGGGATCTAAAACTGATCTAACCTTGCCAATCTAATGACCATTAAAGTTTTCCTTCAATCATGTCCGAACTAGTTATGAAAAGTATAATGAAACTTTTTTGTTGAAAAATCATGTTCTTACTCAACTTTTCCTTCTGTATATAACCTAACAAAAGTAATTTTGAAACATATGTCGAAAAGAAATATATTCATTAATTGTTCGGACATTAAAAAAAAGGGGCCGATAATTTGTGTTACGTTATACAATACATTGTAGCTTTTGGCGAATACATAACAACATCAATAGTGTCAAGTAGATTTTTTTCATCCTAAATACGGGCAGTACATTATTAGCTTTTCAGTTAGTAAGCAAATGAATAGAACTGATATTTATTAAACTAAAACATCAAACAAACATTACTTACTTATTCCTGTAGCTCTTTACTTCTGTACACATCATAATATACAAGTTTTTGGTTAATTTTCAAGCTCTATGCTTTACATGGTGCATATACAAATTATATTACTTACAGTATCTTTTTTGATAATGTATCTTCATAAGTATTACGCTCAGCTGGAATTTCATATCACGTTTTAGTAGTTTAATATCCGCCTTATCATCTTAAAATCAGCAAAAAGTTCTTTACTAAATAATTCGGTCACGTGAATGAATTCATGGTGTAGTCATGTTATAAAAGTGAATAATTTTTGTGAGAGAAATGTAGTTCGAACAATTCGCAAATGCGAAGTGTATGATAGAATTAGACAATTCATAAATGCACCTTATTAAGCGTGAATGAACCGCAGGAATTTCAAAATTATGTTGCTGAAAATTCTCAGTGTTTTACGAATACGAAAATACAACTGGTTGAGGAATCAGCTAATTCGCAAATGCACTTCGCTGTGGATGCGTGAATTCACAGAAAGCGTGTTGATCAGATTATTATACCAGATTAGAGCTATGCTAACTATCAAAATTCAAAAACCTTTTATCCCTAAAAATCTGCAAATTGCTCGCTCTTTGCACTTCGCAAACAATTCATATGCAAAATCTGAGAATTCGCAACTTCGTTGCTGTTAAAGTAGGTCAAAAGGAAAAAATTCGCTAGCTCGTCGTTTTTCGTTATTATGATACTGGGTACAGTACCCAACGGATGAAACAACTCAATTTTAATGAAATAATATCACAACTTCTGTTGAAACAAAGAAAAAGATTAAAATATATAGTTGTTTTATTCTGAAAACATTATCTTTCAAAATGTAACAAGATATGGTGAATACTAATGATTCATATAATGAAAATATGGTTTAAGTGTTGTAGATTTACATACGTTCTTTGTCAATAAACCTTGTGATATAACATTTCGTCGAAATATATTAATTTCCAGTACTCTACTGCGAAAAACCTACGATATAATAACGGAAAGCACAACACATTTTATAACTCACTAACTATCTGGTATATCTTAACCGCTATAATGATCTTTCAATCTACCTTGAAACGAAGATAAAAAAGAAAAGAACTTTT